ATTTTGACTTAATCTTAATTGAAATCACCTTTTTGGATTCTTCCTTTTCACCATCTTTTTTTTTTTCTTTTTCCTTTTTTGTCTTTTCATCCTTTAGATTTTCTTTCTTGTTCTTTTTATCTTCTTCTTTTCCACTTTCAGCTTTTCCTTTGTCTTTTTCCTTTTTTATGTCTTTATCATACTTCATTTTCATTACTTTTAGTGCCCGGTGAAAAAACTGTTTCTTTAAAAGCCTTAAGAAAAAAAGTATGACATTAGACTCCCTATCAGTTATACACATACAGACTAAAAAGCAAAAATATAAATACCTGAATAAAATGAGCAAAGGAAAACATATAGTGGTAACATACAAAAGAAATTACAATTAATAAACCCATGGAAAAACGGTCAAATCCACTTCTAATAAAAAAAATTGTATAGATAATTTGATTACATAAAAGTTGTCATCCTAATTTTCATTTTTAACTACATGATTTAGATATGAGATTATAGGTTTGGAATTATCTTTATGAAACTTTTCTTTATGTTCATTAAGAGTACTCAAGGTTCTGCTTTATTTAATGTTAAGTCTCGAATTCAAGAACAGACATAAAAAAGGGGTTCAGTAAATATAACAGTTTAAGAAATGTTAACATTTTGGTGGGTCATGCTGGGAGGCTGCCAGGGTGGGTGCTTTGGGGGGTGCTGGCTTTGCTGCAAGAATTGGGTTAGTATGGAATGCACTTCCGGGGAGACCAGGATGGGTGGGCCTGTGGGATTTTGTTTTTCAGTAGGGCAAAGTTGCTGCTTTCTCTTCCTAATTTCTTTTTCTGGCTGTCTCCTCACTGCCCCAGCTCTAAATAGAAGACTCTCTCTCGCTTGCTCTCTGACCCATGGAGAGGCAGACATGGAGACCTCTCCCTGGCCTCTCACAGGCAGTGTCTCTAGGATCTCCGCTGGCCTCTTCTTCAGAGAAAGCCTTCTTTCTTCTCAAACCCCTCTTTATCTTCAGTAAAGGGACCTTGAGAACTGTGTATCTTTAGCTCAGTGGACCTGGGTGAAGTTTGGGTCACCTCATTCAAAAGAATGAGGCAGGGAGGACCTAATCGCTAACCTAGAGAGTAACAGACTGGAGTCTGGGAGGCCTCAATTTGAGGTGGAAACAAAGGTGGGGGTGGAAGGGGGACACAAGGCTGCCCCAGGGCATGTGAAACAAGTATGTGGGCAGGTCCAGGGGAGGAATAAAAAAAAAAGAAAAAAAAGAAATGTTAACAGATTAAAAATACACCCATGATTTGATTAATCCAAACAGTGTCTTCAGCTGTCTTTCTCCATGTTATGTTTTCTCTCCATGTATTTTACTATTCGACCTGCCACTATAATGAAATATCTTCAATTAAGTAATGAATAATTAAAATATGCTCAGGTGAGATTTCTGGACTCTGAAAACAACTCTCACAGTATCAAACTGAAAACTGAATAATACATTCGGTAATAAAACAACACTATGTATTTGTTTCACTAATTTTTCTCAAGATGTTGCTCTTCCCTCTCTTCAGCAGTTATTTTTTACATTCCTACCTCGGGCCGTTTACACTGGCTGCTTCCCTCACCTGGAATGCTCTTCCCCCAAATAAGCATGTCCATCTCGCTCACTCCCTCGCTTCCTTCAAGTCTTCCCTCAAATGTTACCTTTTCAACTAGGCCTACCCTATTTAAAATTATAAACCCGTCCACCATCCTCCCTCCTGTTTCTCTTTATCCTATCCATAACATTTTTCTTCTGACTTGATATACAATTTACGTTTGCTTGCCCCTTTCACTAGACTTTAAACAACTTAAGTGTAAGATCCCTGCTTTATTTATTTCTTCATCTGATGAGTTTAGAAGCTCAGCTGACTCAAAATTAAGTCAACCTTGGTGGCAGTTCCTTTCTAATCCTACCCCTAAAACTGGGTTGCCCTGACATTTGTCATCTACAAGCTATCCTTTGAAATCTTATGTTCCAGTTTCGGAGTTCCTGATTTGTGACTTCAATCCTGCCTGGATAAAAGTACAACTACAAAAATGCAATTCACTGCCATCATCTGTGCCTGTGAATGGTGACTATCTACCTTTCTACCCACACTCGTGCCTGCTCCAGCACATAATACCACTTGTTAACTAGATGCCTCCTTCCTGCCCAATGACTACTTATTTTTGGTCATCATGTTGTACGCTCTGGAGCAACTGTTTTTACCTGCCTAGCTAGGCTTTTTCCCGCTGCCCAGTTAGTCCACCCCAGGAACATCTCCACGAGGCTAACTTCTAAGTCTCCTCACCTGGCCTTCTACTTGTTCAGATCTATATAGCATACAATTGTGCAACTATCTGAAATGCCCCCAAAGATTCTACCATTGAGATCTGCTACACATATACATGTATATGTAAACAAACAGAAAATTGAGTCCCTTAATAATTAACTACTTATGAGTAGAAAGTGAAATTTAAGAGTAGTGGTAGGTTATTTGAATATGAAGGGGGATTTTAAATTTTAACTCTACTTCAGAATGTCTTATAAAAAATTTATAATGAACATATTCTCATTTTCTTTATTTACTTTTGAACTTATGTGATTTCCAGATTTTCCAGATCTCCATATAGTAAAAGTATATGTATACACACATAGATACCTGAATGTATATTATCCAAGGGTGGTGTGGTTATCTATGAGGCAACGTTATTAGTTATTTGGATTTTCTTCTGTATCATTTTTAGAGTGGAAAAAAATGTTCTTAATAAATAATTAAAAAAATAAATTGTAGAACTTTGAGAGAAAAAGAACTGTCCCTTGTTCTGAGTATATATAAAAGGGCACAGAACCAGAAGGATCGTCATCAGCTTCTGTTACCCTTCCTGCACAGCTGCCTCACCCCCAATAAAGAAAAGTAGACTATTAACCAATCAAATTGGTGTTGAAAAGTTCACATTCAGGTGAATGCATGTAAGTACCACCTCTACAACTTAACTGGCTGTGCAGTGTTGGGTAAACTACTTAATTTTAGTTTATTTCTAAAATGCAGTATCTATCTCATAGAGGTTTCTAGAACTAAATGAGAAGCATGTAGATTAGTTCGCATGGTACCTGACACATATGTACTCATTGTTAGCCATTACTGCTGTAGCAATATTGAATTTCATTTAATAGTTGTGGAATACGCATACACAAAACACATTTGGTTTCATAAATCATTAATTACAGCATCATTCCATTCAGTAATAAGTAACAGAAGTAATATGTAGAATCACTGACTTATTCCTCAATAGGTCTTTAGAGAATGTCTACTTCAACTTGCCTCAAAAGGTGAGATGACATTTACTATTGTAATATCAGTGTCTCCATTAATTTAGCTTGAACTACATCATATAGTACAAATCACTTACACAAAACTCTGACATTTTCACAGAACTACTCACACTTCCCTATGCTAGTATGTTCTGTGCTCTTTGCCAGGACCAAATGTCCTTTCTCCTACTGTTTGCTGGGTAATCACCTACTTATGTTTCAAAATTTGATTAAAACATTTTCCCTGTGAAGGCATTCTTAAAGTTTCCTCATCTTTGTCTTCCTTATAGAACACACTGTATTATAGTCAGTTATGAATCTTCTTTAACAGACTAGAATAGGTGCTTTGAAGCCAGGAACCAAGGCATAGTCATCTATGTATTTCTGGGGCCTGGCATATAAAATAGGTATTTGATAAATATTTGTTGAATAAGCAAATAACAAATGGATTAAAAGTAGCAAGTTATTAAACTGCTTTCCTCACCTCTTAATTTTTATTTTTCAGGTTTAACATTTATTGATGCCAGACATGTGTTCAGGACTTTCACCTAGGTGACAACGGTGAGGTTTTATTAAATGCCCACTGTGCTGTGGAGTTACAATAAAGTATAACAGTCCTACAACTGCCTTCAGATTTAGCTGCCAAGAAATTAAAAACTAACACATATGCAAAAATTCTAAAATAGCTAAGTACTAAACTGTATGGTACTAGTTTTGTAAATTCTGTAGAACCTTGGCTATGAAGATTAATGGAGGTTGAGGACCTGGGGAGTATTACATGGTGGACAGGGAACGTGAGGGGTATTTACACTGAAAGGCAGGACAGAGGAAGAACCACTTGGGTAAAGTGGCAGGTTATGATCAAATAAAGGCCAGAAGGAAGAATGAATGTGGTATATGAACAAGAATGAGAAGAATGTTACTGGATTGGGGGGTTGGAGATACAAAGTCATATGTAGGGTCAGGATGGTGCTAGATTGAAGGCTGAAGAGTTCAAACTTGAAATAGGCCATAAAGACGCATAGAGCATATTAGAAAGGTTTGTTTTGTGTATTATCCTACACTTTCCTGTTTTGGTTTCCCTCAGACTCCCTTAAGCCCACTTAGTAGCATCAGAAAATGAGACTGGACAAGCAACCCTTTGTGCTTCTGTCTGTAGTCAAGCAGAAACCCATGAGGGCTGGCCATCATGAGGCCTTCATGGCTGTATCAGAAGTAGCTTTGGATTTGAAGACTTTAAGTAGTTATGCTTCTCTATTTTAGTGCAGAAAGGACACAAACAACCTGACATGAATGGGAGTAACATATACAATGAAAAGTGAGTGTATCTCTAGGACAGTCTCTGTACTCAGGTCTTTTGGGCTTTTCATATAACAAGGTGACAAGGCTCCTAAAAGATCAACAGACATGGATTAATACTGGCTGCTCTCCTCAGAGGTTTGGGCTCACCAACTTAATATTCAAATAGTGCTGGTTTCCCTGTTATTCAATGAGCGTTCCTATGAAACATTTTGTAAGGTGAAGTGGTGTAAAGCGAAGAGTACCCCTCATTTTTCAAAAATTCACTTTACTCCACTTTGCTTTCCTGTTTTTGCTACCCTAAAGAAATGTGAAAAGGATTTTCACTTTTACAAAAAAAGCTGTTACTGTACTAATGTAGGTCTTTCACAAACTTTCGAGTGAATCCTTCATCTTAATTTTTTGCTTTACTAGATGCATTATCATTTTGTTGGAGACAGGGTAGTGCACAGTGGTTAAGAGAATAGACTATGGAGTCAGACTGTTGGATTTAGAATTCTGGCTCTGACACTTACTAGCTGTGTGACTTTGGATAACTTACCTAACTTGCCTTTTTTTGCATTTATTGCATTTATTCGTTTTTACATCATATGTGAAAAATGAATCTAATTTGACACAAGGCAGGGAAATTTGCACTTTAGAGTTCTAAATACACAAAGGGCTGTAAAGGAAAATACCAACTACACCACTGTTAGCTTATCCCTGCCTCAACAATGAAATTTTCATTGTTTGTGAAAAGTCCATTAGTAACTCTAGTTTTTGGCAACTATAAACATTGAGAATATTTAATAATTCTTTAACTTTACAGCTTTAGAAGGTTATGAAATAGTGGTTTTTAAGGAGTCTCATGTGGCCGATACTTTAAATGCCATTAAACAACATATTAGTAAATTGCTATGTGTACCTCCCTACCAAACATATAAAATAATTTAAAATGCCAAATTCCCACCTATTATAAACTTCAGTGTGACAAAAACAAAATATGGTTTATCAACATCTTAATAAACATGCTTCATTATTTAAACCAAGAAAAAAAATTGGAAGGAAAAACCAGCATAAGTATTTCCAAGAGGAAAGTGATTTTTGTACACCACTGACCCTCAAAAGTTTTTTCCCAAAGGAGACGTACCTATTATGAATTGGTATATACTGAATAGGGATATATTGCTGAACTACCTATACTTCATCTTGGAGTCAAGAAAAGGCAGATGTGGGCCAGCTGAGTGGCGCGTTGTTAAGAGCTGGCTAGGGACGCCAGAGGGCCCCGGTTCGGATCCCACATATGAGGGCCAGTGACACTGCCCTCTAGAGCTAAGATGCTGAACAACAGCTCGACCTGGAGCTGGGCTGCCCATGAGCAACGGGATAGGCTGCAGCCCCTGCTGCAGTGGGTTGCCATGGGCTATCGTATGTAGCCAGCAGCCAGCATAAGCAGCCGCTGTGAGCGGCTGTCCAAAAGTTGGCGACTGATCTGCCTCGCCCGGGAAGAGCGCAATGATGGTACAAATTTGGGCCAGTGAAGCAACGTCCTCCACAACTAGACTGAAGAACAAAAGGACAGCAACTTGCCTGTTCCCCTTCCCCAAATTCCCCAGCGCTGAATGCAGATGTTGCAGCTGCCTTGATTTTACAAACAGTCACAAAATAGGGAATGGTACCAGCTAAAAGCTCAGTGTGTAGGCACTAAAAAAACAAACACAAAACCCAGGAACAACATATCTATTAGGAACCTCTGACAAAGTTTAGGAAAGGCTCCCCTGTTTACTCTAGAAAAGAAAGACTTTTTTGTTTACTGTAGGCACTGGTGTATGATTTTTATTGCTGACCCTTCAGTTGAGTCAGCCTGTAATAGAACACAAAAATTATAAAAATATGACAGATAGCCTAATACCAAATAAATGTATTTCCAGAGATACTGAAGAAGTCCAGTTTGCACATAAATGCTATGTTGGAGCTATGTTGTAATATTACTACATCAATAATAAAATGAGGAGCTTCAGGACTATGGAGAATATTATTAAATTACTGTTTAGTTATCCTTCACTAAGAAATAAACACTACCTGTTGCAGTAGTCAACCACAGACTCCCTTGTTGTAAATAAAGCTTCCTCTCCTTTCTTGGCCTTTGCCCACTTTGAATCCAAAAGGCAGTCCACTGCTTTTGAAGCTAAAGAAGAAATTTATTATTTTAAATTTAGTATACATGGAAATTTATGTCTAAGTAAATAATATTTTACAAGGCAAATTTCAACATTCTGCATCAGAAAATAAAACCAAGTTCAATCAGAAAATTTAAGTCAGACATGATCATGATAAATAGTTCCTCAGAACCTCAATTTGTAAAACGTATCGATAAGCATCTTTTTAAAGTAATGCTGAGAAATAAA